GCGTAAAGGAAGGTAAGTTGATCGATACGAAAACACGTGATCCTTACCTTCAACACGCCTGATCTGCCTAAGAATATTAAGGCCGGATATCTAAATTTCCTGTAAGACCTTATATTCCAAACCCTATGCGATGTTTCCAATGCCAGCGTTTCGGCCATTCTAAGACGTCTTGTCGTGGCAGCCTCACATGCGCCCGATGCTCACAGATTGGCCACGATTCTGAAAATTGTACCGCTGCGCCTTCGTTGTATAAATTGCAAGGGTGAGCACCCAGCATTTTCACGCCTCTGCCCAAAATGGAAATTGGAAAAAGAAGTGCAGACTGCAAAGTTACGAGGAACATCTCATATGCCGAAGCCAGAAGATTAGTCCAAAGCACACAGCTTCGACCAAATCACATCTACGCCAGTGCTGTTAAAATCATCTCGTACAGTTGCCACCCAAACATCAATAGGCACGCAGACTAACCAAATAAAAACCCAACCAAACAATCCACCAAGAAAAAGAAAATGCAACCCATATAATACAAAAACAAGAAAAGAAACAGTATTCAAAGTAAACCCAAAACTAAACACAAAATAATTAAATAAAAATAGAAGTCCAGCAATAGCTCTCTTGATGAATGATTTCTGAATCTGCGGATTCAGACTATGGAAGTAGAAGAGGGTCTAGAAGTTCCCAGGCATCTACTTCCACGAAAAACCAAACAAGAGCACAGAAAGAACAAAAAACCATTCATAATGGCCACCCTCGTCTCATGGAACTGTCGCGGTTTCCACCGAAATTTGCTCGACATCAAAGCTATAATCAATGTTATCATCCTGTATGCTTCGCAATACAGGAAACAAATCTAAAACCAGAACAACCATGCAAAACTTCGGAGGTTTTCTTTCGTCAGGAAGGATAACCTTGCAGGTGAGCGTGCCAGTGGAGGTGTAGGTCTCCTCACCTCACTGGATTATCCCTCAAATGTACTTTCCTTTGACGACATCCCTCCAAGTTGTCGCTACTCAAACAAAATTTTGATATTGTTGTTACAGTCGTTTCTCTGTATTTGCCTCCAAATGAGCATATTGATCAGCAAGATTTAAATGGTCTTTATAGAGCAGCTGCCTGAGCCTTTCATCATAATAGGAGATTTTAACGGCCATAGTCCACTCTGGGGTAGTAAAGATACAAATTGCCGAGGAAGACAAATTGAGCAGATGATCGAAGATCATAGCCTTTGTCTCCTGAATAATGGGCAGGATACTTACTTCCATGAGCCTTCAAGGACATTCCACGCTCTCGACCTTGCCATCTGTTCACCATCTCTGTTGCCATTTTGCACTTTTAGTGTCGGAAATGACCTGTACAACAGCGATCATTATCCCATTTTTTGTATCTCTTGCACGAAGAGGAGCAAACCCCATGTCGAGACTCCCTCGGTTTATACTGGACAGGGCAGACTGGGAACTCTTCTCTTCCTCATTGCAGAGCTCACAGAGGAAATGGTAGAAGAAGATGTGCATATCGATGACGCTGTGGAAGCTGTTACTAATACTATTATTCAGGCAGCTATGCTTTCGATTCCTAGAACATCAGGAAAAATACTAAAATATTCGAAAACCATGGTGGAATCGCGACTGTCATGAAGCACTGAAAAAACAGAAAAAAGCATGGGGTATTTTTCGTAGATATCCTACTCTGCGAAACCTCATAGCCTTTAAAAGAGCCAAAGCAAATGCACGAAAAGTAAGAAGGCAGAGCCAGAGGGATTCCTGGATTTCATATGTGTCGTCAATAACATCCTCTACGCCTAGTAAGCGGGTTTGGGAAAGAGTTCGAAAAGCATGCGGCAATGTATATAAAGACCACTCACTTTCCTTTTTGGAAAAAGATGGCCGAGTGATTAGCTCCATAGAAGAAATTGCGAAATACTATTGGTGAGACATTTGCTGCCGTTTCTTCCAGCCGAAACTTATACACCTGCATTTCTCTCTATCAAGCAACACTCTGAAATAAATCCCATCGCATTCAACTCTTCCAAATCTGAGCCTTACAATAGAGACTTTACTATGGTTGAATTAAAGAGAGCTTTGTTGCAGACACATAGGTCTTCTCCGGGTCTTGATGGCGTGTATTATGAAATGCTAAAGCATCTGTCCTATAAGTCACTGAGTGCCCTTCTCACACTTTACAATAGAGTGTGGAAGGAGCGTACATTTCCCAGTGCATGGAGGAGAGCTGTTGTCATTCCTATTGCGAAGCCAGGGAAAGATCCAAGGAATCCCTCGAACTATCGGCCAATTGCCCTTACCAGTTGCCTTGCAAACTGTTTGAAAAGATGGTAAACAGCCGCCTAGTCTACTTCTTGGAAAAGAATATATATTATATCGCCTTATCAAAGTGGTTTTCGAAAGGGAGAACAACCGTAGATAACATGCTCCTCTTAGAGACATCTATTCGAAAAGCTTTTGTAAGAAGAAGTCCACCTTGTCTCGATATTCTTCGACATTGAGAAAGCTTATGATAAGGCATGGAGATACGGTATACTCCGGGATCTTCACGAGAGTGGCTTGCGCGGCAACCTACCAATTTTCATTCAGAATTTCTTGAACACTAGAACTTTTCAAGTAAGAATTGGCTCTGTTTTTTCGGATGTTTTTGAACAGGAAGAGGGTGTGCCTCAAGGCTGTGTGCTCAGTGTAACCCTGTTTAGTTTAAAAATAAATTCTGTACTTAAAAGAACTTCCTCCCACCATCTTGGGATCTCTATATGTTGATGATCTGCAGATTAGCTGTCGAGGAGCAGACATGAGATATGTAGAGAGGCAATTGCAGATGGCTCTGAATAAGATCCAAGAATGGTCAGACAAACAGGGATTTACTTTTTCGAAAAACAGAAAACTGTGTGCGTGCACTTTTGTAGGAAGCGTGGTCTCCATCCTGAACCTGAGTTATATCTGAATGGTACAATTATTCCAGTTGCGCCTGAAGTAAAATTTTTAGGAGTGACGTTCGACCGAAAATTGACTTTCCTTTCTCATGTTTTAAACCTGAGAAAGAAGTGTCTAAAAACACTAAATATTTTAAAAGTGTTGGCGAACACCTCCTGGGGTGCAGAGCGTTGCTCCATGCTTCGCATTTACAGAGCGCTTATCCGCTCTAGAACTGGACTATGGCTCAGTTGTTTATGGATCCGCTCGGTCATCTGTTTTGTTAAAACTGGATCCTGTTCACCATCAAGGTCTGCGGATTTGTTCAGGAGCTTTCAGGACTTCTCCTGTCCAGAGCCTATATGTTGACTGTAACGAACCATCACTTTATCTGAGGCGTGAGCAATTGTCCCTTTTGCAATATTTTAATATTCTATCCCAACCTGAACATCCCAATAAGCTGTGCTTACTTGATGAATGTGTGTAACACATTATTTGAAACACGTCCATCCTGTGTTCCTACTTTCCCTTTAAGAGTTCGCCCTGTCATTGAGGAACTTCCCTCTCTGATATGCACCCCCAAGCAGTACAGAATTTTGAAATTCCACCTTGGGAAAATTCACGGATTCCAGCTTCTTGATGTTTTTAAACATCACGTGAAGGCGAGCACTAACGAGATCGTTTACAGACAACTCTTTCGCTGAGCACAGGCACAAATATAGCAGTTATCTATCCGATATATACAGATGGATCAAAGTCAAATGATCATGTCGGGATGGCATTTTGTATTTGAAAGATTACATGGAGGGCAGATGCTTGCACCATGCTTTCTCTGTCTTAACATCTGAACTAACTGCAATATATTATGGTCTTTTGTACATCTCAAAGCTCTGCCACAAAAAGTTCATAGTTTATACAGACTCGTATAGTGCTCTTAAATCTTTGGAAGCTTTTCCCAACACTCAGAATCCTGTGGTAGTGGATGTTCTCAAAATTCATATAAATTAATGATACGAGGATATGAAATCCTGTACTGCTGGGTTCCCGGGCATACGTGGGAATAAAGGGAAATGAGCTTGCAGATATCGCAGCCAAAATCTGCTGTTGAACTGTCCAGTCGCCTCATCCCTTTTAGAGACATCTGCTGTGTCAAAAAGGAAGATACCGAAAAAAATGGCAGCAATTTTGGGATGTTCAGCATTCAACAACAAGTTAAGACATGTAAAGCCTAGAATTGAGCATTGGGATTTTGCTGGAAATCGTAAAGGAGGAAGTTCTTTTGACTCGCCTCAGAATTGGTCACACTAGAGTGACACATAACTACCTTTTAAAAGCTGAGAATGAGCCTGTTTGTTTAAATTGTAATGTTTGTTTATCTGTTCGTCATATTTTAATTGAGTGTCCATGTTTTAATAGTCTTCGCCAGAAATATTTTAATAGCTGTGACTTACCTCTCGACCGTTTAATCGGAAGAGAGGTCAATTGTAATTTATTTTATTATTTAAAAGAGATTGGCTTTTATTACCAAATGTAATTTGTTTTGAAGACTGTGTCTTGAATTTTAATGTGTGCTTTTAACTTGTTTTTATATGACTTCATCCTCTGGATTTGGTACATTTATCTACTTGTTTTTATTTATTGAATTTTAATGTCATCAATTGTAATCATCCCATCTTTTGTTTGGCGCGTCATAATCATCTCTGGTTTTGCGCCATAATCACTCACTCACTCACTCATCACCTTCTTGAATGTGCATCGAAGCTGCATAGAGGAAACGCGAATGGAGGTCGCAAAGAGGGAGAGGGGGAAACCTCAAGTATGGAAAACGAAAGCAGTTAGTTTTAGCGCGGAGGTCAATCTATTGGGTCGAATGCGAAAAAAAAAAAATGTGGGTCACTGAATAAAGTTTAGCAACTCTTTTTTCTTGGTAATAGAAATAATATGTGAGGGGGGAAAAAGTAAGCATATAAATGTACTGGAGAGGCGACGAGGGAAATTAGGACACGAATAGCGTATTTAAAGAGAAAAATTCGCAACGAAAAACATATTCCTTCACTCGTTTGATTTGCAGTTCCTGACACAATGGAAACTTCAGCTTCGACGAGCAATGGTAAGACATTTTTATTTTATGCTTTGCGCTATGTTTTTCAAAAAAACTATTTTTTTTGCTGCCCCCTAGAATTTCGTTCATAGTATGTGTAGTTTTAAATTATTTTTTTAGACTGCAAAGTGAAAAGACACATTAACTTGCTTGACGACGAAGATGTGGAATTGAATAATCCCCACCGTAAAAAAGCAAAGAGCTTCGATTTAGATTTAGCAAGCGAAGAGAAAAAAACCCTCTTCCCATCGTACTCAATACATCTTGGTCGTAATCTTGTCATGGAACTCAAGGAGTTCCGGGGATCTCATTACATCGGCTTATCCAGACAGACCTCCAATAACGACATCAAAAATCGGTTTAATATCCCGCTCGAAATGCTGGATACCTTGAAACAAGCCTGCGAGCACATGATCAATCACATTAAACGCAATCGAGTGGTTTAAAAAAAACGCTTGTTTTTTTAAATTTAATTGTATTATTTTTATTTTTTTTTTTTCATTTTTCTTTTTTTGAAATCAGTGTGTTATTATGTATAAATGAATGTGTTATATATTTAACATTGACTACTTTTTTTTTAATTGTGTAGCATTTGTAAAGTACGTTTGTTTAAAATTATTCAAAAAAAAATGAATATATCAATTTGAAGTAATTTAAGAAAATCATATGAGGTTGTTTTGTTCAGCACAACCTTTTTTTTTTTGTAACAATCCAAAATAATAGTTTCTAAAATCAGTATGCTAAATTTTAATGTGCACAGAAATGCCCATCGCGGCTTTGTGCGTTCGTATAGAGCTATTTGCAACAATTACAGAGATCCTCATCTACTATATCAGGACAGTCGACAAATAATTTTTTCATTATTAAGTAGTAGTAATATTCTTAGGTTAAGAATACTTATATGCTTAAGCATATTATTTAAGAAAGGCGATGGAGATGAAGAAACAGAAAAAAGTTTCTATTTTTGCTCCAAATGTGAACGAATCCTAACACGAGGACAGATATTGATAGCGATTGACAATGCATTTCGAAAAATATTTCTAGGCATTGATAACTTTATTAGAAACGGTAGTGGATGGACAATAAAGCGTCTGAACTATATCGACATTCAAGTAGGCAATTTAAGAGAAATAAGAGGCGGATGTAAACACATAGAATTGCCAGCAAAAATTAGGAACAAAAAAGCGGTTTTAAACATTAATTGTTATGATAATAAATGCTTTTTGTATTCTGTTATCGCAAAACTATATCCAAGGAAACAGAATAAAAACACGTTAAATTATTATAAAAAATATTTGAGATGTCTTAAAATTAGCGGGATAAAATTTCCGATTTCCTTAAGTGGAATTCAAAAATTTGAAAAGCTAAATGATTTAAAAATTAATGTATTTGCGTTTGAAGAAAATGAAATCTTTCCTTTAAGTATAAGCAAACAAAAAAATATCGACTTAATGAAAGAAATTGATTTACTTTTTTTTGAAAATCATTTTTTTTAATCACAAACTTAAATAGATTATTAAATGTTCGTAAAGGTATTCATCACTATTGTAAAAACTGTTTGTTAGGGTTTCAGCGAAAATGCAGTTTAGAAACCCACATAAAATTGTGCGAAGGCAAAGAACCTCAGAAAGTAAGCATCCCTCAAAATTTAGTAGTTAAATTCACTGACTTGTCTAAACAATTATATCATCCTTTTTGCATTTTTGCGGATTTCGAGTCTCTCACTAGAAAAGTTTCTTCAGCTTTTCCGTCTGAGTTTCAGAGTTTTTCAGTAGCAGTAGAACACCACGAACCTATCAGCTATGCAATTCTTGTCACAAACATTAACGATGAAATAATATTTACGGAATACTACTCCGGAAATAATGTCATTAATAACTTTCTAAAAACTTTGAAATACCTATCACATAAATTGTTACAGAAAATGAAAAGGATTCTACCGATGGTGGAAAGCTCTGAAACTTATGACAGAAACTGTTGTCACATATGTCAAAAGCAATTTTTACCAAACGAGATACGTGTTCGAGATCACTGCCACTGGAGCGATGGACATATACGCGGATTAGCACACCAGACATTGCAATCTAAATTATAGATGTACATATTTTATTCCAGTGGTAATACATAATGCGCGTAATTACGATTCCCATTTAATTTTACGAAATATGCCGAAAGATGTTTTCAAATGCATTAATATCACACCAGTAAATTTGGAAAAAATTTACTATGTTTACTCTAGACGAAATCAAATTTTTGGATTCTTATCAATTTTTAGACGCTTCGCTAGATACATTAGTTGAGAACTTAAAAAAGTCCGAACACAAGTTCGAGATTTTTAATAGTTTTTTCAAAGATGAAACAAACAGATTTTTACTGCTGAGGAAAGGAGTATTCCCATACAGTTATCTGGATTCAGAAGCGGTTTTAAAGGAAACCTGCTTACCAGATAAAAGTGCTTTTTTTAATATTTTAACAAATAACCATATAACAGATGATGAATATGAACATGCACAACTCGTGTACAAAACATTTCACTGTGAAACAATAGGAGATTATTTAGAGCTTTATCAAAATGTTGATACTGTTCTACTAGCCGAAATATTTTCGGCCTTTCGCCGAATGTCCATGACGTACTATAATTTGGATCCCCTCCATTTCGTGACAGGAGCGGATCTCACATGGAATGCGGGATTGAAATATACAAAAGTAGAATTACAGCTATTCAGCAATGCCAACGATTACATGTGGATAGAATCACAAATGCGTGGGGGGATTTGTTTATTAGGCAAGCGACATGTAGTGGCTAATAATCCGTATACTTCAGATTATGACCCATACAAACCCCATAATTATATTTTAGCACTTGATGCTAACAATTTGTATGGATATGTCATGAGTCAGTCGCTACCATATGGACATTTCACATGGTTGACGACTGACGAAGTACGACATTTCGATATTTTGAACATCGATCCTAATTCAAGCGTTGGATATATTTTAGAGGTAGATCTCCTATATCCACCTGAATTGCATGATATCCACAATGATTTTCCGTTGGCCCCAGAACATTTAACAATAACATATGACATGTTGTCTCCATATGCGAAAAAGATGTGCGACAAATTAAACATGAAAAGTGTTTTACCCTGCAAAAAATTGACACCGAATTTTTTCGAAAAGAAAAATTATATATGTCATTATTTAAACTTAAAATTTTATCTTGAACAAGGACTTGTTCTACAAAAGATACATAAGATTTTGGCTTTTTCCCAATGCAAATGGTTAGAAAGCTATATAGCTTTTAATAACGATAAAAGAACGGCATCCGAAAATGATTTTGAAAAATCTTTCTTTAAAAAAATGAATAATAGTTTTTATGGCAAAACATGTCAAAACGTAAGAAAGCGTGTTAATGTTAAAGCGGCCTTAAATGAAATTCAGAGCAAAAAATACTTGCAAAGTCCCTTACTGGATTATTTTGAAGTGATAAATGAAAATTTATCATTATATAAAATGAAAAAACAAAATTTGTGTTTAGATAAACCAATTTATGTGGGTTTCACTGTGTTAGAATTGTCGAAATTGCATATGTATAATTTATATTATAAGTATTTTAAGAGCGTGTACAATGATAAATGCGAATTGATTTATACTGATACTGACTCATTATATATGAATATTGAAACTCACGATATTTTTAATGACATGAATGAAAAAGTATTTCAATGAAATTTTAGATTGTAGTAATTTCGAAAAACATCATTTAATGTACAGTATAAATAATAAAGGCAAATTAGGGTTTTTGAAAAATGAAAACAATTTACCCATCAAAGAATTTGTGGGGTTAAAGTGCAAAATGTATGCATTCTCTTTCGGAAATACATGTAAAAAAAAGTTAAAAGGAATTAAAAAAGCTAGTGTCGCAGATCTGACCACTTGAGTCATATAAAAAGATTTTGTATGATGAAACATTAATGAGACAGTATCAATATACAATTACTTCCAAAAAAGCATGATATATGCACTGTTCTTCAAAACAAAGTAGGATTGTCGCCATTTTACGACAAGAAGTTCTTAAAAGCAGACGGCATAAATGCCAATTGCTATGGTCATCATAAAAATCTGCTTTTAGAAGATGAATGTATAGAAAACACATTTTAAAAAAAAGGTATGTAATTATTTTTTATATAAACAGCAGTCATTTCAAGAAAATTGAAAAAAAACTGTTTCATGTATTTTTTTTCCTCTACTTAGAATATAAAAAACAACGAAATGTTGTTCCACGTCGATTATTCGACCCCGAATTTCTTACATCATGTAAAAGAAAGAATCTCACTACGAAAGAACTAATCAATATATTTGCCAATGGATTTTATCCACTCCAGTGAAAAACAGGCTACACACAATATGTTTTTTTTAATAATTTTTTGTATGTATATTTTTGAATGCTATGTTTTTTCATGTTATTTTATGTTATTCATATTTTGTTATTATGTATTTTGATTTGTATAGTTACTTTTTTCATGTAAACTAGTTTTTACGATTAAAAAAAAAAAATTTAAAAAAAATGGCAAGCCCCTCAAGGGCTTGCATATTCACGATGAAGAGCAATCTGTCGAAATATATATCAGATGCTTTTTAACGTGAGTATGCCAGACAGAGGGGAAAAAGATATGGTATGAAACTTATAGTATAATTTGTATATTTTTAAAAAATATCTAGTCTGTGTGATTATAAAATAAGAGTGAGTAAAAACATGTTTTGTTAAATATACTTTTTTTTATTTATTGCAGAAAAAAAAGAGATTACATAGTTTTTTTTAACATAATAATTGTTTACAAATGAAGTTCCCGAATAACTTCGTCGTCGGGAAGGATGATGAAGTATCCAATCTTCTTTTTAGTGCAAGGAACTGTATCTGGAACATCTTCACCGCCGCGTATATTTTGTTTCCCCATCATCACACAGTCAAATAAATTGTTAAACAAATTTAGTGATGAGTCATGCAATAACATTTTATCGCAGGAGAGTTGTAGTAGTAAATATCCATATTCATTTGCTTTCGAATGAGCATGAATGTGATTCATCACTTCCGAATTGTTCAAAATTTTAAAATAGCATCGTTTTCCAATCATTTCATTTTCAATTGAATTCCTGATACAGCTAGTAATATCTTTAAATAAAACATTATGCACATAATAATATTCTGTGCCATTGGAATCAAACAACAGATATCCGTAACGTTCCATGTTTCGTCGATGAACTAATGTTTGATGGCTTTGCTCATATATATAAGCGCAGTACAACGTTGATTTCCCCAATGAAATGTGTGGTGGCAACATCTATTCAGTTTAAAAATTTTTCTTCACGAATAGTTTGATAAATTTTTCATTTCTTCTTGTATTTCTTTTGTTAAGATCCTTTAATGTCAAAT